ACGCTAACTTCATAAATGTACGCCCTTGTTAACAAAAATTCTAGATGTACTGGTGTTGTTTCAGGTTTGTGTTTCTTCTTGTACAGCATGTGAAGCCTGTTTAAATCAAAACAAGCAGATAGGCCGGGCTGTAGCTATAGTGACGGGTGTGTATCGCAATCTATCGATGGTTTTCAGTGATATGGATTTAAGAACGAACGGAAATGCTAAAGGTATTTTAACAAAGTCGTAACTCCAACATCTTCCTTAGGCTTGATTAACAGAAAATGTTTTGTTGACAGAAGGAAATAGCATTCCATTTAGTTTTAAATCAAAGCGCCTTCGTTGCAGCTAGGATCAAGTGAGAAAGAAGCTTACATAAACATTGACAAAGAAGAAATGCACTTGAGTTATCGTAACTTTTTACAGATTTCCGAAGAATTAAACGAACATAAAAAACTTAAAACTCTTATTCAGCATCACACAGTCAAAGCAGAGGTTTTAAAAAAGGGAGGCATGGAACAGCACATTGTTTTGCTCCTGCAAACTTGCTTCTGTTCTCGCGATAAACTTCACCTTACCTACAACCATAACAGTGAATTCAAATCCTTTCTTGACACTCTTGCGAAAAACTTGATTAGGAAGATTTGCAAAACCCACGTAGCCTTCCATTCCTTTTGCACTCTGTATAATAAAATGAAAACCGAAGCAGTAATTCAAACACGCTTCAACACAAATAGAATCGGCTTAGAAATCGACCGGATAATTCTATCGTCTACTACTCACCGCTTTCAGAGAGAAGGGCAATTTTTTGATCGAGGCCATTGTAGAAAGACACAGTGGTTGCAAAGAAGAGAAGGCAGAAAACAAGTTGAAATTAGTGTATGTACAAGCTAAACGTTATAAATTAATGATAGTATTGCAAAAACCACTCATTTGGCGCTGCGGTTCTTGGAGCCGAATTCGGTGACAACGAATCTTTGGTCGAGTCAATGAAATTTCTCCGCTCCACCGAATGTCTACGGGCTAAAATACCTGAAAGACACCTACAATAGCGAACGTATTGCAAGTATTGGCTTCTCCGACGACAATGAATTACCTACCCATCGCAAGAAAGAAATTTTACGCTCTACAAAGTCCAAATCTCCACACAAAACACGCCTTCCCTTCCTTTGCGTTATTTTGAAGCGAGCGTGTGATTATATACGCATGCTCAATATTGGGTATTTCTTTACCGGAAGTGAAAGTAATGGCATAATCACCTCCCTTACACAGGGCATATCTTTCGTTCACGCCGATGGGGTCGGCGAAAATTTTCCCTTCTTTCTGGGAAAATTGTTTATTGTTCTAGCAATTCGTTTTATTTCCTCCCAGAATAACGGGTTTTTGCTGGGAGTGCGACCTAGAGATTTATGGCACTTGTTGCGCGTCTCTCCAGCTAAGAGAAGGCAGGTGTTTGGAAAAACCAACCGGCTGGCCAATCCAAATTATGTATTTATCACCTTATCGAGAGGAAACAATGGAATCGCCTCGAAGAAAAAGAAAAAATTTATTTTACAACATAAATGCGAACGAACCGCCAATTATTCTCAAATAATTAAAATAGTTGTAGCACAAAGAGAAACGTGTCTCGGAGTGAATCCGCACCGAGCAGCAAACAATAAAACAACACATTAGGTCGAAATCCAGAGAAAAAGAGAACGAAACAAAGAAAGAAAAAAAGGGGGGAAATGCAAGTTTTTATTTCTATGTGACAAAACACAGTTTTTTCTATAGGAAAGCATCTGTATCACTTCACTAAAAATTCTTTCATGTCTCGCCCGTGTCAAAAACTGTTTCCCGCTCCGGATATTTCCAAAGATATGTGTTGATCAGTGTATACTATCAAAGAGTGTTTGAAAACGCATTGTCACGTACGTAGAGCTGTAAGTAATTTTTTTCAACAATAGAAACTAAAAAAATTCAGAGAACCTATTTTCACTTCTTTCAATCAGTCCCTTTCTTCCTTTCACGTCGTTTTTTTTTTTTATTTCTCCTTTTAGGCTGTTTTGTTGTTGTTGTTGTTGTTGTTATTGTTGCTGTGGTCGTTGTGGTTGTTGTTGGCTCTGGTGACGAAGAGTACACATCCGTGGTAACTCAACAAACTTTTTTACGCAGTGGGAATGTTCCGGCCGACTTCTGAACCCCTAGAGAGTACTCATCCCCTACCACACCCCAGGGAGAAAATGGAGTTCTCTTTGGTCCAATAATTCACTTTTGCTTAAAAAGACTTGAAATCGATAGCTTTAGATTTTAATCACATGAGCAACGCCTGGGCGATTGCACGAATCACTGCGTCAATACACTTTATCTGTGGATATTTATGATTTAAAAATGACTCACGATACAGTGGTTCTTTCTGGCCATAAATCGAAATTCTTGCTGTATAGCGTAACACATGAGCACAATGCGGCTCTTAATTATATAAGATCCTGATTCAGTATTTGCTGCCGAACTGCAACACTAAGTATGAGTTACATCCGAATAAATTCGGATCTACGCCTACTGCCTTTAATACAGCGACAACACTCATGGCTCTTTCTTCGAGGGCGTGTTAGGATGCCAAGCTCTTGGCGTGGTATGCGGAAATTCAGTGGTACCATATTGAACAGGGTAAACTGGGGTATCAACGTAAGAATCATACATTGAGCGTGACAAGGCAGAGAAAAGGTGTATCCACTGAAATATTAGCGCTAAAATGGCATGAGACCACATACAGGAAGCACTTGGAAGATGAAGGAGGCAATGATGTACGCAATAAAATGTGAGATTATGAGTTTGAGTAGTCCAGAATATATGAGATCATTCTAAACCCTCTCAATATTCACTGTGTTTCATGTGTTGGGAGGCCTCTTCTCGAAACAAGTTTGCAATCGGGGAGGGGAAGGAATCCGCAGATGAAATGGGTGGGGATGCTCGTCGTCTCGTTTAGGGGTGTAAATTTCGGATTTCGGTCTCACTTAGGGTGTTCTGGGCAAAACGCTATCCGCTATCATATTTAGCCGTGAAGGTCTCGTTTAGGGTTGCACGCGAAAAACTATAAAAATATATATTTGAGATGTATATTTTTTCGTCTCTTTTAGGGGTTAAAAAAGCTTGGGCCACGCCCAGATCGGTCTCCTTTGGGGGTTTAATTCAAAATTTCCGACGGACATCCCCACCCCTTTCAAATGCGGAGTCGCCCCCGGGTTTGCAATCTAAATGCATGGATCAAAATTAAATCATTTGAAACTTTCTTGAATCTCCTTTTCGACAAGGCTTTACCGTTACTCAGTGCCACATTCACCCTGAAAGGTCTCAGTAAAGATGAAAAACTAACTGACCATTCCCTGCCACGCGCAAAACTACTCTTATATATCATAAAGATATCATTCATCGTGGTATATATGTGAACTGGTTCCTTTAACACTTGTTTCTCGATAATCACTGGAAAAGCTAAAGTATTTGAATCCCGACTGATCCAAATTTATGATTGATGCTTGGCTCCTAAAGCGTTTACTTTTGTTTTATACCCCTCGCCTTTACCCTGGTTACCAGAGTTTTTTCTCGAGTGCGACGGGGAGCTTCGTTTCGTCGGCCGCAGGCCGAATACACGAGCGGCGAAGGGGGTCACTTTTTAAGACTTGACCGAGACCGGAAACCGCGCATGAAAAGCCTCTGGTACCCAGGGTACCTCACCTTCGGAGACAAGTAAGAATTTTTTTTCAACTTAACTCGATACTGGCTTGTTTGATAAGCGCTGCGGTGCTCTTTCGCCAAAGTAGATACTGGGTAATTGAGTCAAATAATTCTTTACGACACAATCTTTTATGTATGAAAACGGCGTGGCCAACAAAGTTGTTATGGTTCGGGAACATTCAGGTTATGGAAAAACTCCGAGGTGAAACGAATCTTTTCAAAAAGCGGAATTTAGAACGTATTTTGTTCATTCTCATACATTCTCGTATAAAATTCAAATTCCAACGAACTGCAATGATCCTGGGCGGCCTGTGATTGAACCGGCTCAATAATATGCGTGCTGTTTCCTCCACTTGTTCTCCACCCGGGGCTTGTATGTTGATGGGGCCAGTCCGGCGGTCCTCCTATTCCAGGGTCCGTCCTTGCGGTTGGGTTCCTTGTATTCTCGTCCCCACAGCCACTCTACTTAATTTGTAAACGAAGACACGTGACCAAGACTCGACGGGTTCTGGCGAGAATGGGGTCCTTGATCACTGCATGATCAGATGCTTTCTATACCTTGGACGCCTGTAGCCTGCGAAAACAGCCGTCTTTCTTCTCTCAGCAGCGGCTGGAGCGAGATTTAGCTCCTGGGGCCCGTTTCTCGAAAGTCCCCAACTTCGTCCCCAGGGCGCTTTTCCCTGGAAAGTCCTGGAAACTTTTCGCGCTCGGAAAGTTGTTTCGTGTTTTCCGTGGACGTGTCTGTATCCAAGATCTAAGATCTTCAATCATTTTGAAAACGGTACAATAAAACTTTTAGTTAACGAAGTTGCTAACCCCCGGGGGGGAGTACTTCCTTATAAGAGGCTAATGGGGATGTGCCGCTGGATGGGGTCGCATTTTCACTACTGGATTGACCAGAATGGGGTCGTACCAGAATGTTTGTACTAACTGTAGGTGAAAAGTAAAGTGTTCTTCATTTAGTTTATATTAAAAAATGGGTCAATTCATAGAAATAGAAAGTGACCAAACTGGAATCGCGAAATAACATATTTGCCCAAAAGTGACTAAGATGGGGGTCAACAATTGGTCACAGAATAGATGATAATGGTTCAGGGTGTCTGAAAGGCCAGTGGCACATACCCAGCAAAAATTTAGCCAAGCACCCACCGCCCCCTCCCCCTTCACCCCCACCCTCACCCTCCGGGTTAGCTAACAAACTCCCGCCAAAAAAACCATGCATTTTTGGCGGGAAGAGGACCTGACGCAATGTGATGTTTTACATATAGCACCAAATGAGTGAAATAGCGTCCAGTCTTCTTTACAGAGGGCACTCTATCTGCCATGCATGTTTTCCTCTTGAAAAATATGTTGTCTTCTTGCAGAAAAGGTGTTATTTCCCTACCAAAATGGTCATGGATAAACCAAAAAGTTATGGCTCGTGCATCCTCATCTTCCTTTATCAAAATACCCTCTCTATTTGGTTCAAAGGCGTCAAAGACAGCTGATGTCCGTGAGGAAAAACAAGCAACGCCTGTCAGAAAGGAGTACTATGTTCCTCGCAAGTTCGTTCCGATGACAAGGAAAGCTCTTATTAGAAGGATAGTGGAAGATAAGGAGCTAGTGAATCCAACTGATAGACACTACTTTCAAGGACTTGCAGAAGTTCTGGATAAAAGCATAGCTGGTACCTTTCATGCTGCTTTAGGGGAGTTGAAGGTACAACATACTACATACTGTAAAAACATACTAGCAGTGCATAGATATTCTTTGTTGCTGGTCTGTGCATTCTCGTAACGAATCATTTATTTGAATAAACAAAAAAACGACATAAGTTAATAGTGTATCAGTAGTTGTTTGGTTTTTTTTTTGGCGGGTTTGGGCATGACAGAAAAGAAGAATTGGATAGGAGGGGGGGGAGAAGAAAAAAGGTGGGGGGGGGGGGGGGGGGGAGGGGGGATCTCATCACGAGTTCATGAACAACAATATTATTTTGCATTTCACAAGTCACTAAACAAATATTTATGTTTTCACGCTTCTCAACAAAAATAGAGGTTGTACAAAATGTCAAAAATGTTACGTTAGTCCCATTTTGGAAACAGAGTGCTTCAATTATATTTTAGCAAGTTAAGTAGAGTTTTACGAACCTTAAAAACCTGAAAAAACACCTATAAATTCCCCAGGGAAGCCAGCTGTAGGTGGGTCTGAGCGCAGTGAAGTGTGAAGTTTCATCAAAAGACTCGAAAGTGAAGTTAGGTAAAGCCACCAGATGCGAGTTAAAGTCGTTTGGCAAAATTAACAATTTATTTTCTTAGGTTGATGTTCAATGCATGTGTAAACAATCGAGGATTTTGGCAGTTCAGGTTTTACAGAGAGCACTTCAATCATGATTCACAGAACAGTTTTTCAGTACATTACAATTCACGGATACCTAAAATAGTCAATCACGGCGTCACAAAAATAAGCTTGCCCCCCTCCCCTCTAATAAGGGATTAGTCCCTGCAGTGGTTGAGAAAAAAAGGACACTCACAGTACCGCTAACCCCCACTCACCTCATGTTAGAGAAACCACAACAGTCTTGATTCTGGATTCCATGTTGCGGATTCCGGATCCTCTGTCAGTGCAACTTGGGTTCCAAATTCCAATCAGTAGCAGGATTCCAGATTCCTTGAGCTGTTCTGGATTCCATAGCCCGAGGATTCTGGATTCCACAACCAAAATTTAACTAAATTCTGGATTCCACTTGCAAAAATATCCTAGATTCCGGATTCCCTTACATCGGGTGACTCTATTGCCTCGTTTGTAGACAAGAGGGATCTAGAACTGAACCTTTCTAATTTTGCCTTACTTTTGATTAATTACAGGTATTATATGACCCTCTAAACCCCGACAAAGAGACCTTAACACTGCAAAATATATCAAAGCAGGAAAGGCTGGATAATGAGTTCTGGTTATTAGAGAAGTTATCCCAACTCCTTGAGAAGGCTCACTTCTATGAGCTTCCTGTTGAAGATGTACGTGATGCGCTGAGAGAGCATGATGCTGGTGATGGAGTACTGGTTAGTGTGGATCCAAAGAAGTACGATGTACTGAGGATTTGGGTTGTTGGAAAGGAATTTGAGCCTGTTGATAATGGTCGTCTGTATTCTAGAATCGCCACTGGAGTAGTGCATTGGTTTAGGCCACCCAAACCGGCTGAAAGGTACAAGCGAGTTGTCATTGCAATTCGTGCCAAGAAACAGAGCAAACTTTTGCTCAAGTCCTTTAAGGATATTCGCTGTGCAAATCTGGAGCACTTGCTGCCCGACGGCAAGATCAGAATGAATCAGTTTGATCAGCGAGTGTTGACTGGAATGTTTGCAGTTGGTGCCACCAGTGCAGTGATCAAGCTGGTGTCTTTCCTGGCCGATTATAAAATTTCCTGGACTTATATCGCCATATCTGTAGCTGCTCTTGTGGCTCTAAGAGCATGGAACATGTACAAGAATAAGAGAAATTCTTACCTGGTTCGTTTGGGGCAGACCTTGTATTTCAAGTCCATTGCTAACAATCGTGCTTTACTCACACTGTTAGCTGATAGAGCTGAGGATGAAGTTTTCAAAGTCACATTACTGGCATACAGTTTCCTTCAGGCTTCATCAAAGTTGCAGGCATCATCAGGTATGGTTTTTGGCATTGACTACTTTTTATAAGTATCATGCAGTTGAACCTCCTGTAAGTATCCATTCAAAATGCAAAGATTTAGTGATTGCTTACAGAAGGTGGCCACTTACGAGGATTAAACTACAGGAGCCTCTTGTGTGAAGAATATATGTGACTGTATACATGTGTAGTTCTATGTTGTCACTAAAATTAATGTTGTTGCATAGTATATACTGCAAACATAGAGATGGCTATATAAAAGTGTTGCCTACAAGGGATGAAAACAATGGAAAGTTTTAAAACCATCACCCCAAAAAGTGGTTTTGGTCGCTTACTAGAGATGGTAATTAATTAATTAAAATCTAATTTATTTTAATTTCAATTTAATTTTGATTCAAATGAGGTTGATTCTCAATTTTCTTTGTCTCCTAGCCCTTGAAGACAAAGGGAATTAAAAGTCATCCTTGATTAAAAATTGTTGGCCTAAAACTGACGAACAAATACAGCAGATTAGAAACATTGCCATTTAATTTATCTAATTATTTTTAAATTCACAATGCTCCAACGAAAAATAAGTTTGTATTTGCTGTATAATAAATCCTGTTTTCACCAGTCATGTTTCCAAGGTCAGTTTGGTTGGAAATTGCTCCTTTTTGACATTTTTGTGGACATTGACTTCTTCTTGGTCCATATTTAGAAAAAAGAACTCGCAACAAAAATCTTGGTTAGTATCTAGCCATCTTGAACTCATGCATACCAGTATGAACAGTAAAGTGAAAAAATATAATTTTTGTTGGCACAGGTGAGGGTATGACAGCTAGCGAATTAAAATTGCATGTGGAAGACTGGATGAGAAAATTTCAAGTAAAGGTCATATATGATCCATCAGAAGGAGTAAAACAACTTGAAAGCCTTGGACTTCTTGTAACAAAACAAAAAGGTAATAAACAACATTATTATTGAAGAGGTCAGTTTTTCAAAAAAAAAGTTGGTGTTATACATGTATGATGTTTAAATTTTTTGTTTGTTGCATACATGATAAATACAAAAATGAATGAATAATGATAGAGAGGTAGCACAACCATTTATTTTACATTTTACATTTACTGTGTACAGCCTACCCCTCACATTTGAGGATTATTAGCTGGGTTGGTCAGCAAAAAAAAAAAGTTAACTTAATAGGCTAATAAACGGGTAGATGATTTAGGCAGCTTACATGGGCTTTGAAAGTATCTAAAGAGCAGTGTTCGCTAAAGACAGAAGCCGGCAAATTGTTCCACTGAATAATTGTTCTTGAGAAAAAGGATAGATTCACAGAGGAAAGACTAGTTTGAAGTAGGATGAAACTATCCAAGAGCGAGCGACGTGATTTGCGCATGACAGGGTGCAGAAGCCCTTGAGAGTTAACAGAGAGGAGCCCCCACATGTAATGGTTCTTTGACTACCCATTCCTGGTCGAATTGGAATTGGGAAATGTTGATTTTTGAGAAGAGGGGAAAACTGGAGTACCACGAAAAACCTTTGCGAGCAAAGGAGAGAATGAACAACAAACTCAAGCCACATGTGGTGTTCACACCTGTGTTTGAACCCTGGCCACATTGGTGGGAGGAGAGTGCTCTCACCACTGCACCACCCTTGCTCATACATGAAAGTTAATAAAAATATTAATAATTATTTTAAATACTTGATCATGAATGTGCAATAAATTTACGATAATTTATTGTGAGTGGGTCAGTGGCTTGGAAAAAAACAAATAGAGTTGATTTATTTGTTGAAGGTACCAATGCTTTTTTATTCTCCTCAAAATGTACAGGTGAACAGCAAATATTAAGTGTGCCGTCAGTGTATGATGCTTTTATGCAACTGCCAAATCCAACCCAACCAATGAAGATATCAGCTGAGAGAACAGAAGAACTTGATGTGGAACTCACTGATGTAGCTACAACTGAAGAAGAAATAGAACAAATGCAAGACAAACAGCGAGAGGAGTTAGAACAAAAGAAATTGAGCTGGGATTGATTTGTTCCCCATGCTAGACAACAGTAAAACATTTTGTCAAGTTCATTTAGAAAGTATCCTGCATCGCAGTCTTTAATAGACTTTGGTTAGTAACATCTGCAAAGCAGTGTGGATATCCTTGCTCACAGCCCCCAATGGACTCAACAAATTACCAGTAGTGTGTTTCAAATTTACATTCATCTTGATTGGCAAACTGACCATGGCTTTTTTAACCAGCCAATCATGACACGTACTCAAATCTTGGTCATGTACACCAGTGGGGGCCCAGCACAAGGATTTCGGTACTGTTTTGCAAACAGACTTAAAGTGGCTGTGTCACGGCAGTCCCGTTCATTTTGTTTAATTTTGCCAATTTCTTGCCCTTAATCGCTATAGAGCTTAACGTGAACAAAGAAATTACATGTAAATGACAAAATCTGAGATCCGAGACAAACAAATATGTCTCCTAAGCATTATTTTTGAAGTTGCAAGCAGCAGGGATCAACTTTGAAAAACTGTTGGGCTGAACAGTTTTCAAAAACCAGAATTCGTTTCAGTCTTCTTCAGTTTTGCCCATCCATGGCATCTGTTGTTTCTGTTATGTTATTCTAACCTTCCTTTAAAGTTTTAAGAGGTTATTTTTATGTTTCTCTTAATTTAACGGCCATTTTGTAATTTCCTGATTTGGCTGAATTTCGTGACACAGCTCCCTTAACCAGAGTTAAGTTTTGTCTGTGGCGCAGGCTAATTATAGAAAGTTGTCCATTGTCTCCCGAACTCATCACATACGTCTTGATTGGGGTGTGCCACAATAGGTCATTACGCTTCACACTTCTCAACTGTGAAATGGAAGTGAAAAAGAGCTGATGCCTTACTTTGCTATAAAAGGCAACATCTCATCGCCATGAAATGGGTTGAAAAAAGAGGCACTGCCATGATTTAAAAAGTCTAGATTCAAAAGATACATGTAACTGCTTTTGATAAGGCATTCTTCAAACCTTTTACAGCAATCCTTTTTGGGACAAAAATTCAAAGCAAAAGTTTTCCTTTAAGTTTTAAATTATAGTAAGGAATAGTTTGCTATTGTTTTCCTTCTATAGAGTGATTTTCTTTGTTTCTTTTAAAGAGTTATGCTGTTAAGCATTGAATTTCACAGGTTTAAATATTTAGTTAATTCACAAAGGAACAAGTGTCATAAAAAAATATATGTTACAAAAAATTCATAATGGCTTTTGATGTTTAATTATGACTTCAACATTCGTCTTTTGAACTCAACTTTTATTCACTTGTTGATAGGCAACACCCCACCCATTAAATGAGATTTTTATTAAAAATAAAACAACTGACATTATTGTTCCATGCTGATGTTTACTTTTCATTGGCCAAAAGCCAAAATAACTGCCTGGTTAAATAGTGATCTGAACTCCATTATTGCAAAATATCATGATTTGCTGTGTCTTGCAGATCATTATTATTATTTGCCACAGCCTTCCGCTTCGGCAAACAATAATTGCCACCTGACAGATCATGATATTTGTTCAACCTCATCCAATATTGTTAAATATTTTTGTAATCCTTGACTTTTGCCACATACAGCAGCCAATATATTAATAAAACTCAACAGTCTACAGGTTGCATACCTTGAGTATCAGGCACTTCTGGGGGAAAGGGGGAGAGAGAAGCGAAAAGATAAAACCTTTTTTTCCTAACTCCTAAAGGCTGGTTTTCACAGAGTTGTAACCAGAAGAGTATAACTTTTATGATCTAGTGAAAACAGCATTCTGATTCCGCTTACGACTCTGTCGGTTACGGTCAAGTGAAAGCTTGGTTGTTGGAGTTGCAAGCAGCAACAGAAGAACTAAACCAATCACTAAGCGTGGGCACGTGCATTGTGATTGGTTTATCCTTCCGCTTCTGCTTCCGACTCTGACAATCTGCTTTTCACTAGATCATAAGTGACAGAATCACAAGCAGAGTCGCACGAAAATGGAAACATTCTGATTCTTCCAACTCCGATTCCATTGCACTTATGACTCCCCTTACAACTCTGACTCCAACTCCATCGCTAGTGAAAACCAGCCTTGAGGAGGATCTGATACTCAGGCTACAGATCATATTGGTTGAAATTGATTGCATGCTACCTGGCATTGCTTTATAACGGATCATTGAAGTCATGCAAGAACTTTAGCCATGATACTTACTGCAGTTCTTATGGCATTGTGCATGACACAAATCACATCCTGCCCTACAGAAATAATACAATGCATAACAACAAATGCATAGCACCCAACTGCAAGATGGTGTTATTAACACTTACTTCTGATCACCCATACTGTATCAATCAGGGATATAATTTGTTTTTAGGAACTTATTGATTACTATGTACAAACTTTCTCCAATTAGTCTTTGTTTGGTTTTGTCTTAATTTTTTTAAAAGGTTGCAATAAAAATGCATGGATACAAATAAACAGACTGTGCACATGTGACCAGTAACTATTAAAATGCAGTTGGGTGTGTACCTCCTTATCTTTTCCCTTTCCCTCTTCTAAGCCAGCCAGGATCACGCCTACATGTGAGCACCTGTAACTTATTGCAAAGGAATGGAGCATGAAATTTGATAGTCTAGGTTTAAATACAAATCTTTTGCTCTAGGCTCCTTCCAAGGTTCCTTGCTGCTCATTTCCACTTACACAAAATCATCCAGCCAGCAAGAAGTTACAGATACATATCTCTTCCAAGAAACTGCATTTCTACCAAAATGGGCAAAAATGTTATCCTGTATGTCAGTAATGCCTATCACACAGTTAATGCTTTATGCAAGAGCCTCATTCAGCTGGTCTGTGACTTGACAGAGGAAGGTCCAGACCTTGAAGTATATCGGAAAAAAGGTACTCTCTGAAAAGAACGAGTATCTCAGCACCTTGGCCATGCGTATCTCAGAACTGTTTGCTGGTATATGGTTCTACCACTGCTTAATAACGCAATGCAGTCCTGGCTAGTGTGTAATAATTTCCGTACAACGGCTGTTCTGAAAAAAAATATGATTTGTAAAATAAAGCTTAATAAAATAAAAGTAAAAAAATAAAGCCTAAGGATTCTCCTGAAAAAATTTGAGGGCGGTACATGCACTAGAAGACCTAGAACCACTTTTTAAAATTTTCTATACATTTGTAAGAAAGTCTCAGGAAAATTACAGACAAAAATATGGAAAATCTAAAGAAAGCCTCTATAGAAATTTAAGCACAGGTACGCCCCCAATTTTTTTAGGACAATCCTTTGCTTTGTAGCTTTAGTTTACAATTGATATTTTTTTCAGAACAGCCGTTTTACGGAAATTATTCGACATTAGATTCTCACACAAACACTGTAATTTCTCACGCGTTTGCCTACTCGTCAAGATGGCGTCGAAAACCGTGACAAGGTCTATTTTGACTTCTGTGCTGCAGAAGAGATGGTGGGTTGTTACCAAAACAGGGCCACAAATCATGACAAATGTGGGTCTTAAATTTGTATCACACTGTACAGCCTGGCCAATAGTTCCTCGTAAACTCAATGACTGCATGGAATTCTTATTAACTGGTCGGAGATGTTGGGTTCTGTTCAACCAACTGGTTTTTCTTACACCTCTTGCAGTATCTTTCTCTCTGCCTTGGAGTTGTACAGAGGTAAAATAACAGAATGCCAATTGCAGTCATAATCAATACTGCTGCCACACATGTAACTGCCAACTCCACTGCATCAATCTCANTACATGCACTAGAAGACCTAGAACCACTTTTTAAAATTTTCTATACATTTGTAAGAAAGTCTCAGGAAAATTACAGACAAAAATATGGAAAATCTAAAGAAAGCCTCTATAGAAATTTAAGCACAGGTACGCCCCCAATTTTTTTAGGACAATCCTTTGCTTTGTAGCTTTAGTTTACAATTGATATTTTTTTCAGAACAGCCGTTTTACGGAAATTATTTGACATTAGATTCTCATACAAACACTGTAATTTCTCACGCGTTTGCCTACTCGTCAAGATGGCGTCGCAAACCGTGACAAGGTCTATTTTGACTTCTGTGCTGCAGAAGAGATGGTGGGTTGTTACCAAAACAGGGCCACAAATCATGACAAATGTGGGTCTTAAATTTGTATCACACTGTTCAGCCTGGCCAATAGTTCCTCGTAAACTCAATGACTGCATGGAATTCTTATTAACTGGTCGGAGATGTTGGGTTCTGTTCAACCAACTGGTTTTTCTTACACCTCTTGCAGTATCTTTCTCTCTGCCTTGGAGTTGTACAGAAGTAAAATAACAGAATGCCAATTGCAGTCATAATCAATACTGCTGCCACACATGTAACTGCCAACTCCACTGCATCAATCTCATCATCAATTCCTGTATTGGTCGAATTTTCCATAACGAGCCCGGAGGAAAAACCAATGCTTAGAGAAGGGCAATCAGAGCAAACAAGCAGACCAATTCATCTGAGCTGCTGGGGGGCGTTCCTGACTCCTTACCGTTCAAGGACATCTCTGTGTTGTCATTAATATCAGGTAAACCTCTGGAATAGTTGCATTAAGCTTGATGTTCAACTAAACAAATACGAGATGGAAAAAGTTTTTCGTAAGCACTCTAAGGAAGCCATGTTGGAGCTGACTACCCAACATGCATTGCAAGATAAGAATTCTGAACCAAAATAAAGATGGCGGATGAAAGTGTGTCTCGCGACACTAAAACGACGGTCAAAGACTTGAACCTGATTATAACTGAACCTGCTCATGGTTTTTTCATGTTACCTTCTGATCCGTACAACGAAGTGTTCGACGGAATTTTTGTCGGCGATGCGTAAGTATCACAATTATTTCTCTTACTTTCAGCTTAGTAAATGTGCAGCTGTGGGATATTTTGCTTCATCGGTCCTGAGGGTTTGCCTCGGTCTGTCCAGGCTTCATCCTGAGCAAGGTACCGTAACTGCTGCTTCAAATCCTTTTACAATGAAGTAAACTACAGTAAATAACTTCAAATGAGTGCCAAGCCCAGCCAGTACTGTCTTATTCCAACCCCTCAAGTCTTTTCACCCTGGTAATTGTTGCATAATGTGGGAGAATATTATTGGCATATAAAAAATATAAGTTCGTTTGCAATCATTTGCATACATTGGTCAACTATTCCCGTGGCAAACCCCTTGAAGGATGGCGAAGTTTTGAAAAGGAGGGCTTATATTTTTTCTTCAAAGGAGTGTACAAAATTTGGACACTTTGGTCGTTTTTTCGAAGGTGCTGACAAAAAATTAACTCTTTGGATAATTTTTTTACAGTGAAACCTGTATTAAGTGGACATTGTATTAAGGGGACACCCTCTATTAAGCGGACATTAACCGAACTCCCCAAATTTAATTCCCTTATTTACTTCAAACAAGACTTTTATTAAGTGGACACCTCTATTTAGCGACACAGACACCTAAAACGTACCTGAAATGGTAATTTCTATTGTTGCCAACCTGTATTAAACAGACAGTGGTAATTAAATTCCACCACTCAACTTGCCAGACACCAGAAATGTGAAAGATTGCCACCCACAAATGTTTTGATTTTTACATTAAAAAAACATGATTGACAAACTTATTTGATTATTTTCACAGCGCAGTGTTGTTTTCTATTTTGTTTTGTTTGTATTTGTTTCACTCATCTGAGTTCTTCAAATTTGAGTTGCAATCTATGTTTTTGGTACTATGAGCATTTGGTCCTCTTTAATAAAGAAAAATAATTCCAATGTATATCGTCATAATCTCTGGGAGTATTCTAAATGTTTCCACTGTTCATTTGAATGGCATTTGATACCTCATATGACGTTATCTATTGAAACCTGTATTAGTTGGACATCCTGTATTAAGCGGACACTACAGCATTCCCGAAGGTGTCCACATAATACAGGTTTCACTGTATTTCAAAAGGTGCTAACAAACAGTGAGGGTGCGGATTCCAGCCATCTTTAGGGGAGTGTGTGTGTGGAAGGGAGAGAAGTTAAAAAAATGGATCGTCCCCTTGATACCAATGAAGAGATTTTTAGGAAATTTATTGTAACGAGTATACCTTAGGTTAGTGTACACGAAGTGCCATCCGGGCACGCGTGCAGCGTTCCTGTGCTAAATAGGTCAGTCCGCCATCTTGGTTGTCTTCTGTTATGGTAGCTGGTAAATAAATCAGTTTGTAGCGGACTCTGGTATGTTCCTAACTTGTTTCATGGTGTCAGAAGTGCAAGGCATCCACAAGCATTTATGAGCGAAGAAAGTAGCGAAGGACAGCCATCTTCAGCAGCTCCGAACATCACCACATCGGGCGGTTCACCTTCCACTTCAGTAAACATGGCTAATTTTCAGATACCTCCTCCGGACATACTTGAGCTCAACGATGGCTCTTTAGCCTCTAATTGGCGCACATGGGTTGCTGCGTGGAAGAACTATACTTTGGCTACAAAACTCGACAAAGAGGAGGAAGCTCGTCAAGTTGCAACTCTATTGGCGGTAATCGGGAAAGAAGCAAACAAAGTGTTTCGCACGTTTACCTTTTCGTCACCAGATGACGCTAAGAAAATCGAGCCGGTCTTAAGAAAATTCGAAGAGTACTGCATACCCAGGGAGAACACTATTTATGAACGCTTTCTTTTCTTTACCCGGGATCAGCGTGAGTCAGAAACTATTGATCAGTACCTGACAGAGCTTCGTCAAATCGCGGCTAACTGTGACTTTGAGTCAATCACACCTGATCAACTTCTCCGGGATCGATTGGTGACAGGTGCCAGAAATGCCAAGGTACGTGAAAA